AACCCTCAGTTTGTTTTCTGTATTTAAGAATCTCTTATGGTTTGCCCCCCTCTCTGCTTTTATCTTATTTTTCCTTCCCTTCCCCTATGTCCATCTGTTGTGTTTATTAAATCCCACATGTGAGTGAAATCATATGATATTTGTCTTTCTCTGCTTAACTTATTTCACTAGCATAATACACTCTAGTTCCGTCCACATTGTTGCAAATGACAGGATTTCATTCTTTTTGATTGCTAGATAGTATTCCATTGTATATATATACTACATCTTCTTAATCCATTTATCAGTGGATGGACATTTGGGCTCTTTCCATAATTTGGCTATTGTTGATAGCATTGATATAAACGTTGGGGTACATATGCCCCTTTGAATCAGCATTTTTGTATACTTTGGATAAATTCCTGGTCGTGCAATTACTGGGTCATAGGGCAGTTCTATTTTTAATTTTTTGAGGAAACTCCACACTGTTTTCCAGAGTAGTTGCACCAGTTTGCATTCCCACCAACAGTGCAAAAGGGTTCCTTGTACTCCATATCCTCGCCAAAATCTGTTGTTTCCTAAGTTGTTAATTTTAGCCATTCTGACAGGTGTGAAGTGGTGTGTCATCGTGGTTTTGATTTCTACTTCCTGAATGATGAGTGATATTCAGAATCTTCTCAGGTTAGGCATCTGGATGTCTTTGAAAAAGAGTCTATTCATGTCTTCTGCCCATTTATTTATTGTATTATTTGTTTCTTGGGTGTTGAGTTTGACAAGATCCTCATAGATTTTGGATACTCACCCTTTATCTGATATGTCATTTGCATATATCTTCTCCCGTTTCATCAGTTGTCTTTTAGTTTTGTTGATTATTTCCTTCTCTGTGCAGAATATTTTTATTTTGATGAGGTCCTAATAGTTCCTTTTTACTTTTGTTTCCCGTGCCTCTGGAGACGTGTCTAGTAAGAAGTTGCTCCAGCCAAGGTCAAAGAGGTTGTTGCCTGTTTTCTTGTCTAGGATTTTGATGGTTTCCTGTCACACATTTTGAATTTATTTTTGTGCATGGTGTAAGAAAGAAGTCCAGTTTCATTCTTTTACATGTTGCTGTCCAGTTTTCCCAGCACTATTTGCTGAAGATACCATCTTTTTTGCATTGGATACTCTTTCCTCCTTTGTCTAAGATTAGTTGTCCGTATATTTATGAGTCCATTTCTGGGTTTTCTATTCTGTTCCATTCATCTTTGTGTCTGTTTTTGTGCTAGTACCATACTGTCTTGATGATTAGAGCTCTGTAATACAGCTTGACGTCCGGAATTGTGATGCCTCCAGCTTTGCTTTTCTTTGTCAACATTACTTTGGCTATTCAGGGTCTTTTCTGGATCCATAAAATTTTAGGATTGTTTCTTGTAACTCTGTGAAGAATGCTGCTGTTATTTCGATAAGGATTGTATTGAATGTGTAGATTGCTTTGGTGGTATAGACATTTTAACAATATGTTTTTCTTCCAATCCATGGACATGGAATGTTCTCCATTTTTTGTTTCTCCTTCAGTTTCTTTCATAAGCTTTCCAAAGTTTTCAACGAACATATTTTTTACCTCTTTGGTTAGGTTTATTCCTAGTTATCTTATGGTTTTTGTTGCAATTGTAAATGGGATTGATTTCTTGATTTCTCTTTCTGCTGCTTCAGTACTTGTGTATAGAAATATAACAAACTTCTGTATGTTCATTTTATATCCTGTGGCTTTGCTGAATTCGCATATCAGTTCTAGCAGATTTTTCGTTGGGTCTTTTAGATTTGCCATGTAGAGTATCATGTCATCTGTGAAGAGTGAAAGTTTTACTTCTTCTTTGCCAATTTGTATGCTTTTTATTGCTTTTTGTTGTCTGATTGCTGATGCTAGGGTTCCCAGTACTATGTTGGACAACAATGGTGAGAGTGAACATCCCATTGTCGTTTTCCTGACAGTTTTTCCCCATTTGGGATGACATTAGCTATGGGCCTTGCATATATGACTTTTATGATGTTGAGGTATATTCCCTTCTATCCCTACTTTCTTCAAGGTTTTTATCAAGAAAGGATGCTACATTTTGTCAAATGCTTTTTCTTCATCTATTGAAAGGATCTTATGGTTCTTATCCTTTCTTTTATTAATGTGTTTTATCAAATTGATTGAGTTACAAATATTACATGAGCCCTAAAGCCCAGAAATAAATTCCACTTAATCATGGTGAATAATCCTTTTAATGTACTATTGAATTTGATTTCCTAATATCTTGTTGAGAATTTTTACATCCACGTTTATCAGGGATATTGGCCTCTAATTCTCCTTTTTAGAGGAGTCTTTGGTTTTGGAATCAAGGTGATGCTGGCTTCATAGGATGAGTTTGGAAGCTTTCCTTCCATTTCTATTTTTTGGAAAATTTGAGAATATGTATTAACTCTACTTTACATGTCTGGTAGAATTCCCCTGGGAAACCATCTGGCCCAGGACTCTTATTTTGTTGGGACATTTTTGATAACTGATTCAATTTCTTTGCTGCTTATTGGCCTACTCAAATTTTTTGTTTCTTCCTGATTGAGGTTTGGTAGTGTGTGACTGTCTAGGAATTTGTGCATTTCGTCCAGATTGTCCAGTTTTTGGCATATAATATTTCATAGTATTCTCTTATAATTGTTTGTATTTCTTGGTGTTGGTTGTGATCTGTCCTGTTCCATATGTGATTTGGCCTATTTGGATCCTCTCTTTTTTTTTTTTTTTCTTTTTGAGAAGTCTAGCTAAGGGTTTATCAGTTTTGTTTATTCTTTCAAAAAACCAACTTTTAGTTTCATTGATCTTTTCTACCATGGTTTTGTTTGTTTGTTTGTTTGTTTATATATCATGTATTTCTGCATTAATCTTTATTATTTCCCTTATTTTGCTGCCTTTTTTGCTTTACTTACTGCTCCTTTTCTAGGTACTTTAGGTGTAAGGTTAGGATGTGTATTTGGAACCTTTCTTGCTTTTTCAGATAGGCCTGAATTGCAATGTACTTTCCTCTTAGAACTGCCTT